TGGGTACTGGCGCACGACTGGCAGAGGGTCAGCGTGCGGCCCGTATAGAAAAGTATCTATTTGGAGATAGATATGAACAGTTTAGAGTCAAATTTATGAGTTTAAAAGGTCCAGAGGTCCATTGTCTATTGGAATAAGCTGTCTGATGACAAGGGAAATTTCTTCATTGTAGGTGACCACCCAAAATTTAAACCATTGTACTAGGAGACATTATTAAGAGATGTTGGGATGGTGCAGAGCCAACGGGAAAATATAAAATGCTTTATCAGCAGTCCCACAAATTCTTTCATGTTCATTTGAGTATCAACCCTTAAGGTTTTTTTGTTTTGTTTTTGCTTTTTGGTGAGGCAATCGGGGTTAAGTGACTTGCCCAGGGTCACACAGCTAGTAAGTGTCAAGTGTCTGAGGCCGGATTTGAACTCAGGTCCTCCTGACTCCAAAGCTAGAACTCTATCCACTGTGCCACCTGGCTGCCCTTTGGGTATTTTTTTTAATTTGGGTTTTATGAGTGTTCTGTATCTAGCATTCCCTGTTTATGTAGGAATTAAATACCTGGTTCATATTATACATTGAATACTTTTTTTTTAACTCTCTCTCTTCGGGAAATCCTAGCTTTGAATCTAAACCTAAACTTTAAATCATTAGTCCTTGGGATCCAGACCTATGGGTTTAATGAGGTAAGTGTTATCATTATTCCCATTTTATAGATGAGGAAAGTGAGGCAGATCAAAGTTAAGTGACTTGCCCAGAGTCACATAGGTGATAAGTGTCTCAGCACTCAGATCTTCCTGGCTCCAGTTAAGTGTTCTTTCTATTGTGTTACTTAGGCAGAATTTGGAGTTATCCAGAGCTCTAACTGCAAGAGAAGAAGTTTAACAATTTAAACCACAAATTTCTATACAGTGAACCAAGAAAATTGTATCATATTGATGTTTCCTTCCTAAATTTCAAAATTCCACTAGTAATAAGTATAACTGTTTCCCTTCCCACCATAGCTAATAGCTTCATAACTCTAAAAACAACAAAATAAAACATTAAACCCAAGTAGGGTAGTAGGGTTTTGTTTTGTTTTGTTTTGTAATGATATGAGAGCTAGAGGTGAAGAGGAAAAAGACAAAAAGCAAGTTTGTTTCCCCTATACTCTTGAGAGAATTAAGCCCATAAGTCTGGAAATTCAATTACTGTAATACACAAATGATAACCCAGGAGACTTTAGGCTAGCAAAATCTCCATTCCTTATTATCATTATCATCAGTATCTGCAGAGTTGAACTTCTAGGGGCAAGAGAAGAAGTATAACAATTTAAACCACAAATTTCTATGCATTCAACCAAGAAAATTGTATCATATTGGTGTTTCCTCCCTAAATTTCAAAATTCCACTAGTAGTAAGTGTAACTGTCACATAAGTGATAAGTGTCTCAAGTCACATTTAGACTCTCATCTTCCTGGCTCCAGTTTAGTGTTCTATCTATTGTGTCCCTTAGGCAGAATTTTTGCAAACTAAACTTGGAGTTATCCAGAGGTATCCAGCTAGTGGCGTGGTGGATAGAGTACCAGCCCTGGAGTCAGGAGGACCTGCGTTCAAATCTGGCCTCAGACACTTAATACTAGTAGTGTTTTCTCTTTGCTGTTTCCCCAAGTGCCTGAAAATAGGATGAAGCAATATAAAATCAACCAAAAAGGGTAATCTCAATAGTTCAGAGGAATATAGGCATATAATGAGAATCCCCTGATAAAACTGCTCCATTTTTTTCCCCAAATGGCCAAACCAAATGGAAAATGGAATGGGTGATGGTCTACTCTCAGCTGGGTAGGAATGGTCATTGATAGCAGTAGATTATATTTCCCTCAAATCACAGAAAGCTTTGGAGTCTTCTAGTCCACTTCTAGAAGTGTAATATCTAAAACAATTTGGGATCTAGAAGTCCTATTCCAAAATGTGGACGAAGAACTTGATCAAAGATCCCAATTAAAAAGAGACCTAAAAAGAGACTGAATCAATAGTATGGGTCCTTCTCTGAGACTACTCTTTCAGCAGAACTTCAAGAAGAGGTTTCACATTATTCGTTCTGGATCTCATGTGGCTTCTTTGAAGATATCTCTGGAAAATACTCAGATTAGATCCAGACCAGAACAGTTTCCCTAAGCCTACTTAGTTCAAATCCACATTCCTAGAGGGACCTGTATAAACAGCTCAATACTTTCCTGTCATTAAACAATTTGGACAAATACTAGGATATTCTGGTGTCCTCAGGAGATGCTGGAATGTTAAATGTTTTTTTGGAATAAACCCAGCCTCCCAAGGATTTTAAAGACTAGGGATTAAATATATTTCAAGTATATCAGAAATAACTTTCTGATTTCCAGAAAAATTAAGAAAAAGTGACTTAAGGCCACATAGTTAATAAGAGAACTAGAATCAGAAATAAAAATGCAAGTGCATTAACCATATTGCTATGCCAAATACATATTTCAGTAGTTACTGATGAGAAGACTAGAATAAGGGTTTGCAAAATTAAAATGAATTTTAATTTACCCAGAATTTACCCAGAGTTCCTAAAAGTATAACTTTTGTTTATTCTTCTGCCACAATTGAGAGGGGCAGCATAGCATGGTAGAAAGCACAGATTTAGAAATGAAGAATTTGGGTACAAATCTTATTCTGCTCCTTACTACTTACTTCCTGCGTGGCATTAGTCATTTAATTTCTCTGTGCCTCAGTTGTAAAGTGAAAGTGACTAGATGACCTCCAACATCCTTTCCAGCTCTAAAGCTATCATCCTGTGATCTGGCACTTGGCATCATATAGCAATCACTTTAATTTTAGGTATTCATCAAATAGGTTTCTCCTAAAGCATTTTCTCTTCCTATAGGCCTAAATGTTATTATGATATAATTTAGAATTTAGCAATATAATCTGCCACTTCCTTATGTTATGATAATGATTCTCTTTAATACTTAATGCACCCCTTAAAATGTCTGTAGTATATGAATACCCCCAATTTTTGTTTTCTACTTTTAATGAAAATGGAAAAAAAGAAGCAAAGAAAATACATATTTGAAGAATAATAGTGAGACTACATAAGAAGTTAGAAGTTACTTACATGATAAGTAAGGCAATAACAAAGGATGCGGAAATAAATATCTCCAAAGGCATTTTATCAGACCCAAACCCAAATAACTGATTCAAAATTCTAGGAAAAAACTGAAACTCAACTAACTTCATCTGTTCAGTACTGTTTCTTCAATGTGAGCTATATGACATCATTAACCACTGTGTCTAATCATCTACCCTTCCTATAATCTCTTCCTTTCATCTTTAAGAGGGAATATGGTTTTGTGGATAGAATATTGGACTTGGAATCAAATCCTGTCTCAGATACTTACGACCTGGGTGACCTTCCAGAAGTTGTTTACCATGTCAGAGTCTTACTTTCCTTATCTGTAAAATAAGGGGGTTGGATATGACGACTGCTAATATCTTTCTTCTAGCCCTTAATCTATGATCCTAGATCGAGCCCCCTTCCTTTCTGCGGAGAGAGTTGTATCAATCCATCTTACAAAAATGAATGACACCAAATCTATAAACATCATTCATTATAAGAAATGAAATTAAGAAACTCCTTGTAGACATACATTTATAGGTAGAAATATAGATTTTTACTGCATGGGCAACCTAGGTCAAGCCTTCTGACCAGTCTCTCTGCACTTTAACCAGCCTGGTCCTCAGAGAGCAGATACAGGTTTTAAACACCTTTAAGTTTAAGACAGAGAAGTTTACATTTGATCCTAGATATCATAGGGAGTTGCTGGAGTTTACTGAATAGGGGGAATGAAATTGTCAGATACATACTTTAAGAAAATCACTTTGGGGGCAGCTAGGTGGTGCAGTGGATAGAGCTCTGGCCTTGGAGTCAGGAGGACCTGTGTTCAAATTCAGCTTTGGATACTTGACACTTATTTGCTGTGTGACCCTGGGCAAGTCACTTGACCTTGATTGCCTCACCAAAAATAAAAAAGAAGAAAGAAAATCACTTTGGCAGCTTTTTGGAGAATGGATTGGAAAGGGGAGACCACCTGCATCAGGAAAGCCAATTACAAGGCTGTTGAAATCATCTAGGTAAGAACTGAGGAGGGCCTGAACTGGAGGTAGAAACAACCCGATGTGATTGGATCTGTCTGGATGCATGGGATGAGTGAAAGTGAAGAGTTGAGAAAGATATCAAGGCTATTCAAAGTCTTTCCAGCTCAGCAAAATCTGCCAGCATTTATAGTCTTTTGGCATAGCCATAAAAAACAAGGATCGGGGAACTTCTGGTTAGGGTAATGATGTAAAGGAGCCCCAGTCCTCCACTAAATATCTAAAAGGGCAAGAAATGACCAAGACAACCAAAGAGAAACAGCAAGAAGTTCTTCCATGTAGTCTAAGATTTCATAAGATGATTGCTAAAAGCCCGAGAGCCCTTGCAGAGCAGATGTGGCAGGGGAAGCAGAAGGTGGCATGAGCTCCAACAACCTGCTGGAAGCCTGCAGATGCCCTAAGCAGAGATTTGTCAGGAGGCCTGGACCTATATAGTCTCATAAAGCCAGAGCCTCTCTGATCTTGGTGGGGACATGGAAGATACAGCTTTTAAGGGGGTATACA